CCTTTTCTGGGGCCTTCCACCCCATATCACACCCACTGATGACATCAGCTTCCAGCCTAACTGCTGCCTTCTCCCTTACCTTTGGTGCCTGAGTCAGGTTGGATTGATGGGCACCCATCCTTGGTGGCCTCTGGACTGCAGCCCCAAATTCCTTGTTCCTCAGTGGACCAAAAAGGTGCCAGCACATTATATCAGTGTGTGCCATCACAAACATATTTCTGGGCTTCTAGGTCCATATGTTCCATGTCATACCAACCCTTCAATTCTAAATATTTATGCTACTATAACTGGTTGATATCCAGCTGTTTCAGTCAGCCTGAAATAAAACTCTCAAAATCCTCTTCAGGTTTTTCTCAGTGTTAAGGAGAAAAATCCGCTCTGAATCACTGTAGGAGGATGCCAGCCACCAGTAGTTCCATACCTCTCTCAGTTCCCAACCAGCCTTTGGACTTTAGTGTCATTACAGGAGACAATCAATTGGTTTCTCCTAGTTTGTCTCAAATACCACAAAGACTCTGTGATATAGAAGCAGAAGTCCTAGACCACCTGCCCTCCCTAGTCACTCTAGGGCTTCCATTTCCCATAGAGTCTTCCCTCCAAAGATGCCATTTCCTCCAGGTGAACAGATCTCTGTAATCTCAAGATCAGCTGTGAACCTGGGAAAACTCCAAGTCCCACCTTGAGTGTGGTAATCCTGTACTGAGATCACAAGTAGGCAGAGGTCATTTCTTGCAGGAGCGCACAGGAGCGGAGCTCCAGCAATAAAGAGCACAGGGGGCAGGCACATGCAACAAGCCCCACCCCCTGCTCCCAGCAGTCCTCAGTCAGAGCAAGAAGCAGCCAGATAAGCTGCAGAGCCCCCCACCCAGCCCCCTGGTTCAAAACAGACCAGTGGCACCTTTAAGACCAGGTTTTATTCAGGTACAAGCTCTCCCTCCTCTGTGAGGACAGATCTGCACGCTCTGTCTCCCCCCCCCCCAATAGCTAGCAATCCAAAACAGTCCAGTGGAGCCTGAGCGGTAGGTGTTGCCTTCTGGCACACTTCTGGTGATGTCAGGGGGTGTGGCATATGCAAATAAGTTATGCTAATGAGTTCCTGCACCTCTTTTTCTACATAATGACCCTGCAAGTAGGTCATACTAGTAGTCTAGAATTACGGCTCATCTCCAGACTACAGAGATCAGTTCCCCTGGATAAAATGGATGCTTTGGAGGGTGAACTCTAGGGCATTGTACCACACTGAGGTCCCTGTCCTCTCCAGGCTCCACTCCCAAATCTCCAGGAGTTTCCAACCTAGATCTATGCTAGAAGAACTTTACAGATGCTCAGCAGGGACAAACTAATAACTTATGCAGCAGAAATGTACTATGGTGGTTGTTGTATACAATACAACAGTGTAATAAATTAACAGAACTGTATGTAATGTGTATTTCTCTTAGGTTTGTCTCGAGGCATGTTAGGAGCTTTAGCATGAAGATCATGCAAACTTACCTTGTTTGAGTTCCCTCAATGATGTATGAGACTAGAACCTCATCAAAATTGCCTCAGAGTTCTCTGACAAAGCTTGTCTCAAGCACAGAACCCTGCAAAAAAAGCTTTGTGCTTATGCAGGAGATTCTTATGCCACCGGGCAACATCATTGCAACTTGAAATTGCTTTTGTACAGTTTGTGAATCAAATAATTTCATTTAGAGGACAAGAGGCAGTTTCCCCCGAGTTCATAGTTGGGTCATTAATTTGTCTGACTTGTATTATAAGACATGGAATCACTTGCAATATGTCCCCTTTGCCTCTGCACAGTCGGATGCATTCTTTAAAAGACTTACATCCAGAGGTCATTTCGGGGGGGGGAACGTGGGGGAACGCAGTTCCCCTGGGTGAAGTGGGGGGGCGGGGCACATGACGAAGCCCCGCCCCTGCTTCTGGCCGCCCCGCTTCCAGCCCTCATTCAGCCAGGAGGAGGCAGGAGAAGAGAGAGGGTAAGTTGCTTCCTCCCCGCCTCTCCCCACCCCTGCCTGCCTGGGGCCAGGGAGGGCCTTGGCGGGGCTTCCTCACACTCCCGCTGGCCTTGCAGGTCCACCGCCGAGCCTCTGATGTCAGGGTGTGTGACATATGCTAATGAGTTATGCTAATGAGTTCCCCTAGCTCTTTTTCTACGAAATGACCCCTGCTTACATCAGATTGATTACATCACATTTTGCCTAATTCATTCTGCTAGTCTCTCTTCCTTTTTTTGCTATCAAGTCACAGTCAGCAAATGGTGACCCCGTAGGTTTTTCAGGACAAGAAACATTCAGAAGTGGTTTGCCACTGCCTGCCTCTGCATAGCAAATCTGGACTTTATTGGTACTCTCCCATCCAAGTACTATCCAGGGTTGATCCTACTTAACTTCTGAGATCAGGCTAGACTGGGCTATCCAGGTCAGGGCTGGTCATAAGTAAAGGTAAAGGTTTCCCTTGCTCAAAAGCCAGTCGAATTTGACTCTAGGGGGCAGTGTTCATCTCTGTTTCCAAGCCAAAGAACCAGCACTGTCCAAAGACTTCTCTATGGTCATGTGGCCGGCATGACTAAATGCCGAGGCGCACAGAACGCAGTTACCTTCCCACTGAAGTGGTACCTATTTATCTACTTGCAGTGTCTTGCTTTTGAACTGGTAGGCTGGCAGGAGCTGGGGCTAGAGACGGGAGCTCACTTTGTCACGCAGCACTAGGGTCTCAAACTGCCGAACTACAGACCCTCCTGTCTGCAGCTCAGGGTCCGTTCAGACAACTCTTTAGATCCGCGGCAGGTACGAGTGCCTGGCAGATTTAAAGGTAATGTCCAGACACAAACATCTGGGAAACGTCCCTGTTATCGGTCGCATATAAAATACGCCAAGAGATATTGCGTAGTGTATCCGAATTTTAACTGTTTCAGTGTTTTAATTATCGATGTGTACATATTGGCTATAAGATTTCCCAGATGTTATGTGAAAGGTATTATATGTTTTATGCTGGTCAATGACTGTATCAATAAAAGACTTCCCACCCTGTTCCACTTTTATCTTTTGTCAGTTTGATTTTGGAAAAACAATTAAGACACCGTAGATTAGGAAGAGAACTGTGCTATATCTACTTACCTTTAGCTATAAATATTATTTGAAGGAGTATAACTTTGAATCAAATTATAAAAAGTATTTATCAAATATTACCAGTAAGCAATATGTAACTTTTTTGGAGGTGGAAACTGATGCTTTCATAAATCTTGCAGCCAAACACAGTTTCTGGGGGGGGAAGTGACTTGAGTGTTATTACCCATATCTGTTGCCAACTCTGGGTTGGGAAATTCCTGGAAATTATGGGGTGGAACCTGGGGAGGGACCTCAGCAGGGTATAATGCCATAGAGTCCACCCTCCAAAGCAGCCATTTTCTGCAAGGGAACTGATCTCTGTCATCTGGAGATCAGTAGAAATTCTGGGAGATCTCCAGGCCCCACCTGGAGGTTGGCAACCCTACCCGTTAAGCTTAAATTCCAGTACCAGAACTAGAATGTGGCCATCAGTGTGATATATTGGTATGGTTTATGTGTCTTTATTGAATCATTCTATAATTTTAAATGTTCTTTTCAATTGTTCAGATGTTTTAATTTTTTTATGTTTGCCACCTTGGGGAACTTGATTGGGTAGAAAGGCAGCATAAAATATTTTAAGTAAAATAAATAAATATTCTGGGCTTCCCCCCCAAAAAAGCCTAAAATTAAACCAATTAATGAATTTACAAAGCATTTATTAGAGCCACAATAATGAAGCTTAATCAATTTATAGGAGAGCCCAGGAACATGGCAATGCCTTCTTTTGATGCAAGGTAAAACCATCTTCAGGCATCAGTGGAAGGAAAAGGCCTTGTATAAAAGGAAGATGCTGCAGTTAGTGGAATGGATTCAGTGTAGTGGTTGAGAGCGGCGGACTCTAATCTGGAGAACCAGGACTGATTCCCCACTCTTCCACATGCAGCCAGCTGGGTGACCTTGGGTCAGTCACAGTTCTCTCATAGCTGTTCTCTCAAGAGCAGTTCTAGGGTTGCCAGGTCCTTCCTTGTCACTGGGGGAGGACTTTGGGGGGATGTTCCTGGATGGGGCAGGGACATCCCCAATGCGATGACATTACATAGAAGTGACATCATCACGTGGGGATCAGCACCCCGCACACCTGAACTCCAAGCGACGAATTCCTCACTGGAGTTCAGGCGCCCCACCCCCCTGCTTCTTGCCTTTTGAATGCTGTTTGCAAGAAGTTGGGGTCACACGTGCCTGAACTCTGAACGTCAAATTCACCGCTGGAGTTCAGGCACATGTCCCCTTCTGGCTGGCCAGCTGGCCAGTGGCGTGCAGGAGCCTGCGAAATCGGGGGGGGGATCCCTCACCCCCACCTGGGGACTGGAATCCCTAAGCAGTTCCCTCAGAGCTTTCTCAGCCCTACCTACCTCACAGGGTGTCTGTTGTGGGAAGAGAAAGGAAGGAGATTGTAAGCCACTCTGAGTGCAGGGCGGGGTATAAATCCAACTCTTCTAATTGTCAGAATTCTGAAGAAGTATTAGACTCATGAACTGGAATTATTGGGAGAGGTGTGATGTATAGTCCCCTGGCATATTACTAATGCTCTGTGCACTGAGGTGAGTGCAGAGCTAGCAAGCTGTATGTGAGGCACCCAGTATCAGTCATGACGTGGTAAGCTTGTGTTCATCTGGCTAAAGGCCAACTTGTAAAATGCCTGTGGTGACTCTCTGCTATGCACCCAGATTTTCATAGAAGCAGGTAGATTGTATATCTGTAATTCAATTCCACGTCTAAGAAAATTAAAGCTGCAGCATCAGGAAACAAAAGCAGACTGATTATGGGTAGAAAGGAAAATGGAAGATGTTTATTTTTATATGGCAAATGTAGTTACCCTCTTGAATATGCATACTAGTTATTTGCCAGGTGATGAAAATGAAATCTTCAAGGGAAGTGTTTTGTTGGCTTTTATCCCAATGATGATGGGAAAAGAAGAGAAAATGTCACATAGATGGGAACAGATGGTGCATACACTTTCAAGACCTACAAATAGAAAGAATAAAAGTTGACATTGGCTTCTATCTATGTTATTAAAAAATCAAAAGTAAAGCTGATTATTTGTTGTTTTTTAAATTAAAGCAGCATATAGATGAAAACAACCCAATTTGGGGCTTGAGGTATCCTACTATTTCAAGTGTTATTTTTTCTCTTTTGTTTCCCTCAAATTAACAAAATAATATTCAACGTCTCCAGGACTACAACTGCTCTGCTGAATTTGAAGGTAAATTGAGGTCATACAGAGTCATATGGTAGCCACTTCAAAACGTAGTCCCTATGGCCTTTCATACACTCTATCAATGTACTTAAACCCAGTACTAAAACCCCTCTGCAGGTATTCAGAACTCCAAGGAAGCAACATGTGGCTTAACCAGGTGCTCAGGCATCAGAATCCTCATGGAGAGAGACAGAGCTATAGTTCACACGGCTGTTTCTATATGGATGTTTTCAGGGCTTTTTTTGTAGAAAAAGCCCAGCAGGAACTCATTAGCATAATAGGTCACACCCAACAGCAGACCCTCATTAGCATATTAGGCCACACCCTTGACAGCACAGCACATTAGCATATTAGGCCGCACCCCCATGTTACCAGATGTGTGGTCATCCAGCCACACCCACCTTTTGCTTCTTATTCTGTTTACCTAGTTGTCAAATCCCAGAGCTTTTTTTGTAGCAGGAACTCCTTAGCATGTTAGGCCACACACCCCTAATGTAGCCAATTCTAATGAGTTTCTGATGTTGGGTGTGGCCCAGAGGTCATTTCGGGGGGGAACATGGGGGAACGCAGGTCCCCCGGGTGAGGTGCAGGGGGGCGGGGCACATGATGAAGCCCCGCC